TTTTTTTTTTTTTTTAATATGGCATGCCTCACGAATTTGCATGTCATCCTTGTTCAGGGGCCATGCTAATCTTCTCTGTATTGTTCCAATTTTAGTATATGTGCTGCCAGAATGATCTTGGCTCTTCCTAAAGTCTTTCTGATACAAATAACTGGCCAGATAGATAGATAGAAAAGCTGGTGACAGGTTTGCTCTTTTTCTTTTCTTTTTTTTTTTTCAGTGACAGAGTCTTACTCTATTGCCTGGGGTAGAGTGCTGTGGCATCATCACAGCTCATAGCAACCTCAAACTCTTGGGCTCAAGTGATCCTCTGGTCCCAGCCTCCCAGGTAGTTGGGACTACAGGTGCCCACAACAACACTTGGCTAAGCAGTTTTTGATGGTTTCAATATGTCATCCCAATTGGGGCTGTTTTTCCAGGATGTCTATGGTGTTCTCATCAAGCCCCGCAACCAGCAGAGAGCACATAATGGGGGACAAAAACCTCCTTCTAGAAGAGTAGGGAGAGGTTGTTTGAGGCTCCTTTGAGCAAACATTGTTTCTACTCCCTCATGATGCCCTTTTCAGGGGCCCTGGAGCTCTTGGGCACAGGCACAGGTGCTCTCAGACGCAGCGGGGGCTTGGCACGCTGGCAGCATCCTGAAGAAACTCACTGGCTACCTCTCAGCCTCCTCTGGCCTCTCTGAGCTGCTCTGGGCACCCTCTTTCTGGCGCTGTACCTACTGCAGAAAGGTTTGGCTGCTCCATGGTTTTCCCAGAAGCCCAGGGACTGGTTCTCATTGGTGTAGCTCGGTACACAGCCAATCACTGGCCTGGGAGGCAATCTGCTCTGATTGGCTTGGCCCAGGAGCATAGCCCTGATTACAGGCAGGGCCTTATTTTTTTTTGTTGCTCAGATCATTCCAGCTTCAGACACTGAAAGCTCTTTTAGTTGGCTTCTCTGCCCCTTTTACATGTCCTGGTCATCATGGGGGTTTTTGAGGATGTCCTTCCTTTTTGGCATTGAAATGTTCCAGACACATCTTCTCCATTTCCTGGCCCTGCCCTGGAATCTGCCATTCTCTGAGGAGTCCTGGCTTCCCTGTCATGGTGGTTTTAGAAACCTATATCACAGTGTGGACATGCTCTTTGTTGTTTTTTTTTTTGTTTTTTTGAGACAGAGCCTCAAGCTGTCCCCCTGGGTAGAGTGCCGTGGCATCACAGCTCACAGCAACCTCCACTCCTGGGCTCAAGCAATTCTCTTGCCTCTGCCTCCTAAGTAGCTGGGACTACAGGTGCCCACCACGATGCCTGGCTATTTTTTGGTTGTATCCGTCATTGTTGTTCGGTGGGCCTGGGCTGGATTTGAACCTGCCACCTCAGGTGTATGTGGCTGGCACCTTAGCCACTTGAGCCACAGGCACCGAGCTAGGACATGCTCTTTGTTTCTGGGTTGTCATTGCTTCTAGGTCCTCTTGGCAGACAGCACTAGGAAATCAGTGTCCCCTGTGCTAACCCTGTATGCACACTTCTGTATGTGTTATACCAAACATTTGTTCACACTGTTCTGAGCTATCTGGTGCCCTGAAGCTATTCGTGTTTCCCAACAGCAGGCCCATAGCACGTAGTGTGTTCTCACAGGAGCCTGTTACCCCACAGGGGTGGCAGCAGACTGATCTCCAGGACCTAACTGTCTGGCCCTGGCCAGGTTCATTCCAGGGTCTTCCCTGTAGAAGCTTTTCTTTTTTTTTTTTGGAGGAGTTGAAGCTGTTTTATTGGGCAGCAGAGACTGCGGGCCACGCAGACAGGGAGGAGGCATCACTGGTATAGGTAGTCAGCCTGGATGTTGACAGCGATCTCGGCCTCCCACTTGTCCCCATTGTTGAGCAGCTTCTCCTTGTTGTACAGCAGCCCCTCGTGCGTCTCTGTGGAGAACTCAAAGTTGGATGCCCTCAACGATGGCATCCACGGGGCAGGCCTCCTGGCAGAAGCCACAGTAGATGCACTTGGTCATGTCAATGTCATAGCGTATGGTCCAGCAGCTACATTCTGCCCTTGGCTCAGCCTCGATGGTGATGGCCTGTGTGGGGCAGATGGCCTCACAGAGCTTGCAGGCAATGCAGCGCTCCTCCCCAGATGGGTAACGGCATAGTGCATGCTCCCCTCGGAAGCGTGGGCTCAGAGGACCCTTCTCAAATGGGTAGTTGATGGTGACTGGCTCCCAGAACAGGTAGCTCAGGGTCATACCCAGGCCTCGAATGAGCTCAGTCCACAGCAGGATGCGAGCTGCCCGGTCAGTTGATGCCCTCGTATCCATCTCAGGCTCTTGCATGTTCACATATTTGTAGGTGGCTGCCACTGTGCTGCTGTGTATGCTCTGGCCACTGGGACATCCTGCAAGGAGAGTGACACTGTGCTTGTAGCTTGGGCCAGGGCCCGCAGCAGCAAGGGTGTGGTCAGGCGGCGCATCTTGAAGCGCTGCCACTCCCTCCCTGGCTGAAAGGCAGCTCCAGAAGCTTTTCTCTATGCTCAGTGCCACCCTTCTATGTCCCTGCTACTCTACTGGGAGCACCTTTCCCTCCTCCTTGCCCTGTAGCCTGCCCATGCCCTTTGTGGCGGGGGCTTCCCAAGTCCTTACGGCCCTCCTTTCCTCACTCAGCCGCCCTTGGACACATAATCAGTTCCTCTGGCAGCTCTGAGGGCAGCAGTGTGCTTTCACTGGGAAACTGGAACTTGACTCTCATGTTCTTGTCCCTACAGAACACTGTCTAACTGGGCATATGAATTTGACAAGTGGGCCCCTTCTGTGGTGAAGGTGTCCTACAAGGTAAGTCCCAGCCTGAAGAGGTTTCCTCTTACTTGTTGAGGTCATGGCTTGGACAGGGAAGGGATGTGGGAGATACAGGTAGTAGAGAAAGGGAGGTCCACTGCATTTGTGTGATGATGCTTAGGTTCTCATTTCATATGTACTGGATCATATCATCACTGCAGGCTTAGGATCACTTGGGGGAGGTAAATTCTTCTTGTTGTTTTTTTTTTTTTTTTAGAGACAGAGTCTCACTTTGTCACCCTTGGTAGAGTGCTGTGACGTCACAGCTCACAGCAACCTGCAGCTCTTGGGCTTAGGCGATTCTCTTGCCTCAGCCTCCTAAATAGCTGTGCCCTCCACAACACACAGTTATTTTTGTTGCAGTTTGGCCGGGGCTGGATTTGAACCCACCACCTTCAGTATATGAGGCCAGAGCCCTACTCACTGAGCCACTGGTGCCGCCCGAATTCTTGTTTTTGAAAATTAAGAAAAATTATTTTATTTATGGAATATGGTGACATTAACATGTTCACAGGAAGAGTTCATTGTCTTCACCTCTGTTCCTTTATGAGGACTTAATGAGTGTATGCCCCAGCTACTGTGTGACAAGATGCTGGGGTAACTTGGGCCCCAAACCAGACCTGCCCTGAGTACCTCCTGGAGATCAGTTTTTATTCTTTCCACAAGTGCCCTGTGATGTGGGCACTGTAATTGGGTCTGTTGTCCTGGTGGGGAAACTGAGGTAGTGCCTGGTGATGTCCCTAGCTACTGACCTTCCAGGTTCAGGTGCTTCACTCTTCAGCTCTTTGGGAGGGAGTGGGGTATAGGCAGAGAGGATGGTGTTTCCAGGGGTCTGGGGAAGGCTGAGTAGCTGATGGGTTAAAGGTACCATGTAGCTCTGCTGGCAGGAGATTTTGGGCCCAGAGGCAAGTGTACAGGCTGGGACCGGAATTTAGTTTGGAAGGGGCAGGATAGACTTGCTCATTGCGGAGGAGGTTGGAATGATGATGTGGGCAGCAAATAGATAGGACCATGGTGGGAAGAGCCTTGGTTTCCAGTTTGGGAATCTGAGATGGGGACCCAGGACAAGGTGAGCTGGTCAGCCACCAGGAATGTGGCAGGTGGTGGTGCAGGCAGCACAGTTCCTGAGGGCCTGGGCTGCCACTGGCCCATGGTCTTTCTTCATTCCCTCTTCATTCCCTCTAGTTTGTGCTGTGTGTTAATGTTAGTAGACAGGCCATTGGCTTTAGCCAGCATCTTTTCTTGTCATCTCTGGCAAGGATAAGCCCTCTTCCCTTATCCCTGGGAAGCTGCAGGGGGTGCCCATACCACCTGACTGCCAGAGGCTGAGCAGCGTCTATCCTGTTTCTCTTGCAGGGCTCCCCGGCAGCAAGACGGGCTTTTGTCCCACAGCTCCGGAGTGGGAAGTTCAATGTTTTGCTGACTACATACGAATACATCATTAAAGACAAGCACATCCTTGCCAAGGTAGCATGTCCTCGTGCAAAACACTTGTACACTGTTGGGTACTGTCACTGCTTGACTACAGTTGTCATGAGTGTCATGCTGTCTTTCAGTGCCTCCTGCAAATAATTTCCCAAGGGGTCAGCCACATGTGTATAAAGAGACAGCTGCTCTGTATATATAGGAAAGAATCAAGTCAGGATAACCTTGGGTTTGCCTCACTGTGTCCAGGCAGGCCTTAGCTCATGTCCAGAGGGTGGGGCTATCTACAGAGAATGTGCACTGGCTTCTCTCATGGCTTCTACGAAAGAACCTTGCCGCTCACAGTGTGTTTTGACCAGACGGTGTCACGTATCTCTCGACTCTTCTCCTTTTCCTCCCTGGGGGCTATGCCTCCTTATTGCCCAGGGGACAAAGTTTAGCATTTGGGCAAGTGACAGGGGTCCTAGCACTCTGACTGAGGTGCCTTGTGGCCTTTTGGCCTTGGGCCCTTGGGTTGGAATGGTCAGTGAGGACTGAACAGTCCTGGAAGCCTCTTTAGGGATGTAACTGTGAAGGTAGCTCCAGCTTGGCCATCAGTGATTGCTGAGAATTACTATTTGCTGTGACCTTGATGTGAACAGGCAGGTCTTTTGCCCACCCAAATGCCTCTTCTTAATCTGAGGAGGGGTAGAAGGTATCTGTCTGGTGGAGTGAATGTTGAATTGTGGAGATTTTGGCCCCAGGATGGAAGAGATATTTACTAGTCACCACACCTCCCAGTGCATGGTGGCAATGACAATACTGGGCTTTGTATTGTACTGGCCTTTTGTACTTCCCTGAGCTAACAGGTAAGAGGATGAGGCCTGGGGAGCCAGGTGTCTTGCCCACAGTCTTCTGTCTTAGATTGGTACTGTGGGTGCACTTGTTTGGCTTACCCATTCTGGTGTGGTACAAAGCCAGCCCCACTCAGGCCTGAAAGTAAAGCTTTGAAAACCCTGTGCTTACCTGGTTGCATTGTGTGATGTGGGGTGTTCCATGTGGGAGATACTAGCATGTCCCTTCCCCACCAGCATACCTGGCTCAGACCTCACTGTGTCCCCATGAGGCCTGGGGTCTGTGGTGGTCATATGGAGACCCAAACTGAAGTTTAAACCTGGGGTTCCCACCTGTAGATGCACTCAGTGACCAGCTGTGTTTGTGTGACACGTGGCAAGGGACCAACAAGCTCTGGGCTCTGGCCCCTGCTCCACACTCAGAATGTACCTGAGCCACTCATCAGCCTTTAGAAACATAGCTTCTTACTGGAAGTATACCTGTCACCAACCCAATCCCTTTAAGACCACCCATCTTCCAGGGGGACGACCTCTCCAGTCATCAAGATGTGTGTTCTGCCAAAATGTGTTGGGCGTTTTTCTGTACTGTAGATTAGTATATGGGAATTATTTATTTATTTATTATTTATTCTTTTGGTTTTTGTTTATCACTTAGCTGGTTTATCACTTCCCATACCAAATATAGGAATTTTTTAGAAATCCAACATACTTTACTGCAACTTGGTCTGTTCACCTGACATCATGGATGCATTTTCCCATCTGTCTTGACCACGTGCTCTATAGAGGCTGCCTTGTGTGTCTCTAACTCTGAGTCAGCCTTGTTCAGGGATGCTATCAAGTCTGTACTCCCCACTTGAGGCCTTCCTGGTATCTGAGTGCCCAATGGGACATTCTCCTTTTACACTGGGGCCGCCCCACTGCTTCCCCTCCCCTGACCATTCACTGTGGAACCCACAGATTCGTTGGAAGTACATGATTGTGGATGAGGGCCACCGCATGAAGAACCACCACTGCAAGCTGACACAGGTGCTCAACACTCACTACGTGGCCCCCCGCCGCCTGCTGCTGACGGGTACACCCCTACAGAATAAGCTCCCTGAGCTCTGGGCACTGCTCAACTTCCTGCTGCCCACCATCTTCAAGAGCTGCAGCACCTTTGAGCAGTGGTTCAATGCACCCTTTGCCATGACTGGTGAAAAGGTTAGTGTGCCTGCCTGGCTTCTTGGTTGTGGCGGGGCAAGAGGCCATGGACCTCTGAGTGAAATTCTGCTGTCCACAGCAGAGCTATGCCTGTGCTGACAGTTCTGAGCTTAGCTTGCTTGCCCTGGCCAGTGTGCACTGAGTGTCCTCCACAGTGGGCAGGGCCTGTGCCATGTGCCAGGCCACAGTCCACATGTGCACAGAGTGGGGCAGAGATAGTGATGATGGACTATCATCACTATCATCACTATCATCACTAGGACACTCAGGCTTTCCTGACCCTGTACTCCAGGCACAGAGAGAGGACAGCTAGGAATATGGTCCTGAGTTGGTCATGGGACTAGAGTGGTATGGAGAATATAGTCAGTAGTCTCCAGTGTCCTGTTGGTCCCTTTAAGAAGTTCACATTTCCCTCTTGGGGCAGCAGGAAACTTTAACGTTTTCAGTTAAGGAAACCACAGGGTGAAGTTCTATTTTACACTATTTTCAGCATGTTGTGGCTGATGTGGCTTGACAGCCATGGATGGCACCATCAGCCCGAGAGAGCCCACTGTGGCACAGCATTTATTGGGGGCTAGATCTTTATGTTGGTGAATGTTGTCCCTGTGCTTGTGCTAAGCACTAACCCTAAAGTCTATCATATTGTCAGTCTTGTCATGTTTATGGGATGGGCCAAGTTTTCTGCAAATGGGATTAAGCTTCCATAGCCTCAAGCTGACAGCAGAACTGCAACTGGTCACCTGTAAATGCCCCATCCCAGGCAGCCAGATTGCCCTTCATCCCCATCTATGAGGTTTTTCTTAGGACAGCAGGGGCGTCTGCACTGTGTGTATGGTCCCCACCCACCCTGGCACTGGTGAAGGAAAGGACTTTCTAAAGAAGAAACTGAGGCTTCACCTGGAATGTCATAATAAAGGAGCCCCCAGTTTTCAGGCCCTTAGGACCACCAGGCCACAAACAGATACTGTAGTTTCATCACTTTATGAGTTGAGAAAAAATTCTGTTAGGATATTACCAGGGAGTGATAGAAGAAAAATTCAGGCATACTGTTACTTTCCTCTACCTCTGGTTAATTGTTTTGTTTTGTTTCTGAGACAGTCTCACTCTGTTGCCCCAGACTAGAGTACTGTGTCATCAGCTTAGTTCACAGGAACCTCAGACTCCTGATCTCAAGTGATCCTGCTGCCTCAGCCTCTCTAGTAGCTGCGACTACAGGCACCTATCACAATGCCTGGCTAGTTTTTCTATTTGTAGTAGAGACGGAGTCTCCCTCTAGCTCAAGTTGGTCTCAAATTCCTGAGCTCAAGTGTCCTCCTGCTTCATCCTCCTAGAGCATTAGAATTACAGATCTTGAACCACCATGCCTAGCCTGTTTTTAAATTTCTTTTGTTTTTTTTGTAACAGAGTCTCACTCAGTCACCCTGGAGTTGAGTGCAATGGTGTCATAGCTCATAGCAACCTTAAACGCTTGGGGTCAAGCAGTTCTTTTGCCTCAGCTTCCCATTTATCTGGAGCTACAGGCGCCCTCACAATGCCCAGTTTTTTTCTTTTGGGGGGAGGGTGGCGGGGGGGGTGGGAGGAGACAAGGGTCTTGCTCTGGCTCAGGCTCTTGAGCTCTTGAGCTCAGGAGATCCACCTGCCTTGGCCTCCTATAGTACTAGGATGACAGACATGAGCCACTGTGCCCAGCCTTTGTTATTAATTTTTTAAAATTTGCTTTCTTAGTGGAGCAGCAGATGCTGTGGGAGAGCAGAGTTCTTTTTTTTTTTTTTTTTTTTTTTTTTTGAGACAGAGCCTCAAGCTGTCCCCCTGGGTAGATCACAGCTCACAGTAACCTCCAACTCCTGGGCTCAAGCGAGTCTCCTGCCTCAGCCTCCCAAGTAGCTGGGACCACAGGCGCCCGCCACGATGCCTGGCTATTTTTTTTGGTTGCAGCCGTCATTGCTGTTTGGCGGGCCCGGGCTGGATTTGAACCTACCACCTTAGGTGTATGTGGCTGGGGCCTTAGCCATTTGAACCACAGGCGCCGAGCCAAGAGCAGAGTTCTTTTGATTCCATCCCACCCAGGCTGCACAAGAAAGCACTCAGGGCTCTCTACTGCAGAGGTATATAAGCCTGAGGGTGAGCCACATATTGGTCATCCTGGCATGTCCAGTGCCCTCTGCCTTTGTTGTGGCCTGGTGGTGGTTTTGTGAACATAGAAGTTTGTGACTTTTTTTTTTTTTTTTTTTGAGGCAGAGTTTTACTTTGTTACCCACGGTAGAGTGCTGTGGCATCACACAGCTCACAGCAACCTCTAATTCCTGAGCTTAAGCAATTCTCTTGCTTCAGCCTCCCGAGTAGCTGGAACTACAGGCACTGGCCACAATGGCCTGGCTATTTTTTGGTTGCAGTTTTGCCGGGGCTGGGTTTGAACCCGCCACCCTCGGTATATGGGGCCAGCGCCCTACTCACTGAGCCACAGGCACCGCCCGAAGTTTGTGACTCTTGGGGAAGCTGCACAGTGTGCTGCTGCATTTCTTCTTGGTAAGGTGCACAGAGCATGGTGTCATGGGACCTGCAGTTTATTGGCCCAGGCATTACCTGGAGGGAATCAGATCCGAGTAGTTTTCCTAAGGAAGAGGGTTCCCTGCTAGGCCCCCAGAAAGCATAAAGCAGCCTGAAAACCCAGGTGGCTCTAAGGAAATCTGTCTGCCCCAGTTGCTGGCAAGACCCTCATCTTCCTCCTCTGGAGGTGACACTTATTATGTCTTGGGGGTGTTCCAGGTGGACCTGAATGAGGAGGAGACCATCCTCATCATCCGGCGTCTCCACAAAGTGCTGCGGCCCTTTCTGCTCCGGCGGCTCAAGAAGGAAGTTGAAGCCCAGTTGCCCGAAAAGGTAATGAAGTTTTGAGCAGAGGCAGCTGCTGTTGGGCATTCTGCCTAAGGTTTTCCCCAGGGTGGATGTACTCAGGTGATTCTCACTAGGAATCCCAGCCTGGTCCTGCTCAATCCAGTTTGGGGCTGGAGCCTGAGACCCGGTGGATCTCTAAAACCAAGGGTACGTTTATCGGGTTAGAGCATAAAACTCCAGGTCCTATCAATGGCCAGACTCCTGGGCAGGTCCTCCTAGCCACATTAGGATGGGATGTGGAGGCCATGGCTAGTTGGGCCAGCTTCCCACACAGGATGGCTATGGGTTTTTGTGACGGCTGCAGCCATGCTTTGGAGCACAGGCCCTGCAGCAAGGCCCATGGGACTTGGGATTCCTGGCTACAGGTGCGCCTCTCTCTAATCATATTTGCTTTTTATTTCCTGGACAACTGTAGAGAGGCCTCTGGAAGGTGCCCAATTGCCCTTCCTGGCCCAACATCTACCTGTGTATCTCTGTCCTGGCACTTCTCTCTTAGCCTGTGTCTTCCCTCCCCTCCCAGCTGTGGGAGCTCATCACCCCCAATCAGAGCTTACAAACTGGAACCAGCCTGCCTCCTAAGGCGCTCAGAGATAAGCAGTGCAGTGGGGCTGAGAGGTTGTTGGGACCTAGGGTCCTGGTGAACGTTGCCCATCCCGCAGGTGGAGTACGTCATCAAGTGTGACATGTCTGCTCTGCAGCGGGTGCTATACCGGCACATGCAGGCCAAGGGTGTGCTGCTGACCGATGGCTCAGAGAAGGACAAGAAGGTAGGCCCTGGAGTCCCCTGTGGCCTACCTAGGTATTCGAGGTAGGCGGGTCACAGTACACACTCACCATCAGGTTCTTCACTGCCAGGTCTCCTTGGTGGCTTTAGTTCTGGTTGAGGCCCAGCATGCTCACAATCCTGAAGGCATTTGACTATCCCTGGTGATATTGGCTGATGGTCTGTGTCAGGCTCACTTGCCTGCCATCTTGTATCCCCTTTGTTCTCTTTTCAGTTGGCACTGGGGGTCATGGTGCTCAGCCCAGCAGGTTGATACTTTCTAGGAAGCTCCACACTTCCGTCCAGGAAAGGGCTGTGTGATAGTCGAGGCCACTGCACCCCTTTCCCATGTTGTTATATTGCCGTGGAGTCTCATTGCAGATGCATGGGGGCAGGTGGACTTCTCTTTGGAGAAAGCCAAGGGTCCCAGACATCACTGACTCTGATGTGCCCTCCCAGGAAATGCACCGGACCCCTTGATTCTGCCGCATCTCACCCTTGGCCCGGCCTCTAGTTTCCCCCCTGGGCCCTTCCTCATCTGACCTATTGCAGCAGTGGGTTTCCACCCAAGTGCCTACCCCCAGCTCTTTCTTCTCCCTGTAGCCCAAGGAGCATTCTAAGTCACTGTAGCCCACCTGGCTAAAACCCACTGGTGACTCCCTAGAATGTGCAGCACTCGGGGTTTGGCCCAGCTATTCGCCAGTCTGATTTCTACTCTGTCCCATTGGTCCCTCCACCCTGCACCCCCAGTGCTGCTGTCCAATGTTTCAGGTGATTTCTGTATCCCCCAAGCCTCTCGGCCTCCAAAGATAGCCGTCCCCTCACTCCTAACTGCTGTGCCACAAGCCACACACTCCCCAACCCAAGCTTCCCTACAGCCCTCCTTTTGCTACCTTCCTCATTCACCAGCCACACCTCCACCCTGCCCTGGGGACAAAAACCCTTTGAGACCTTTTAATCTGCCTCCCCAGGGCAAGGGCGGCACCAAGACGCTGATGAACACCATCATGCAGCTGAGGAAGATCTGCAACCATCCGTACATGTTCCAGCACATTGAGGTGAGGCCCCAAGCAGCACTCTGGAGTAAGATGGTGTCAATCCCCCATCGGGGCTTCCCTCCATATTCTGGACAACTTGGAGCCACCTGTCTCTGCTGAGCTCCCAGGCAGAGCTAGATTGCTTCTCCCTAACAATTTTTTCCAAAAATAATTTTGAGGGCCAGGCATAGTGGCTCATATCTATAATCCTAACATTCTGGGAGTTTGAGGTGGGTGGATCTCTTCAGCTCAGGAGTTGGAGAACAGTCTGAGCAAGAGTGAAACCCCGTCTCTACTAAAAATAGAAAAAACTAGCCAGGCATTGTGACAGGCACCTGTAGTCCTAGTTAACTGGAGAGGCTGAGACAGGAGGATTGCTTGAGCCCAAGAGTGTGAGGTATAATGCCACTCTACCCAGGATGACAGAGTGAGCCTCTGTCTCAAAAAATAATAATAATAACAATTTTGAACATTGTGAATAGGCAATGCCTGCACACAAGTTTCTTTATTTTCTGTTTTCCAGTACTCACTGTAACCATCTCAACAGTATTGGGCTTTATATAATAGAAACAAAAGTCCTGACTTGTTGCCTGTGGCTCAAGTGGCTAAGGTGCCAGCCACATACACCTAAGGTGGCGGGTTCAAATCCAGCCCAGGCCCACCAAACAACAATGATGGCTGCAACCAAAAAAAATGGCTGGACATTGTGGCGGGTGCCTGTGGTCCCAGCTACTTGGGAGGCTGAGGCAGGAGACTCGCTTGAGCCCAGGAATTGGAGGTTGCTGTGAGTTGTGATGCTACGGCACTCTACCCAGGGGGACAGCTTGAGGCTCTGTCTCAAAAAAAAAAAAAATAAAGAAATGAAAGTCCTTGAAAGCTCCCCCTCAGTGACTGCCAGGGGAGTGTTTGGATGGTCTTCTCTGGGGATATGTTCTCCCATGGTTCTCACAAGTGGGGCCATGCTGTGTCTGCTGGATGTTTTCATAGTGAGGTATGGAGGTCAGGGCCCTTTTGGGCCACAGTACCATTTGAGAATCTGGATTCTTTAAAAAAAAAATAGAGAATCTATATTCTTGGTTCTGTAGTTCCTGGTATGAAGTGTCTGGGTCGTTTCAGACCCCTGCATGCCAAGTCAGCATGAGGATGACTGTGACCCCACACTACTCTCAGGTGCTCAGGAGAGTGATGAAGAATGTCATACGGTGACTCCCTGCCTTTGATTGCGGCACATGAGGGAAAGGATGTCAGTGGATTAGAAGATTTGTGTCTAGCATCTGTGTTTGCCTCAGAGCTGCTGTGGGTGATCACTACACCACACAGTGTGTGAGTTTTCCAAGCAGCCAAGGCTATTCTGCCTGGCACTGACCTGTCTCTCCTTCCATTGCAGGAGTCCTTTTCCGAGCACTTGGGCTTCACTGGCGGCATCGTTCAAGGGTGAGACACTTCCTGGCTGGATGGGGAAGGCAGGCAGTCCATGTGGAGGTGTTTTTTCTCTTCTGTGGGTGACTTTATTGCTGTTGTTGTGTTTGTTCAGTTTCAAAGCATACAATTTAGAAAGTGTAGAAGAACTCAGAAGAGAGTCCTCCATGCTGACGTCTACTAAGAGGCAGGATTCCTGAGGCAGGCCTGGCATTCATATCCCTGTCTGCTACCTCCAGAATTTGTCACCTTTGACAACTTTACAATCTCTCTGAGCCATACACTAATAGGGAAATAATCTTTATACCACGTGGATGTATTTTCTAAAGCATCCTTTGTAATATGCAGCCCATACTTCTTTAAGCCCCTGATGTTGGACACGGATGCTATCTCTTGATTTTCACCATGCAAAGAGCCTTGCTAAAAACATTCTTTTTTTTTTTTT